CCTCTAGCGAAGTAATGAATTCATACACAACCCTCTCCCCATATGCGTGCGCAAGGGCAATTACCTCAAAATTAGCTAAGCGTGATGTCAAGCAGGTCTACGGTTCTCGAACATAAAGCCTCATTTGAAAAAACAGCGATCACACTCTAATCAACTGTGGCTAAAATGTCTGTAATATTTACATACATACAAGTTTCACATTATGACTCAAGAATTAATACAAAATGCTTGCATCTGAAGAAATGGATCCGGTGTTTGAAATATGTAGTTTAGTGTGCGACCAGGTGAAGGCTCACGACCATCATCAATGCTTGACCTCAAGCCGATGATACTGGATCATGAACCGAACAAGCTGGAACAGGTTTTCCATCTACCGATGTTATCTCGAAGCGGTACAATGATCGTTCTCTCGGACAAAGGTTCATCAAAAATGACACGTGCCGTAGGAATATTGAAATGATTTCCGATCACATGAAACAGAAAAGAAAATGCGCGAAAAACTGCGTGAATCAGAAACCTTTCCGACATTAGGGAAGAAAGTAATTTACATTACAAAATTAGACAAATATGGTTACTTCTGGCAAGGTAACAATTTCAGAATGAAGCTGTACCATAGTTGATGGTAGACATGATACATTCAAATACATCTACACTTTTCTTCTCCGAACTCGACGACACGAAAGATAAGAAAACAATTCAAACATCGGACTGCTACGCGTCAATCAATAGTCACACTTGTTAGTGCAGCACGTCCGTACCGCACCGGAATATGCCGCCAAAAAAACAATATTAGAGTCCGGTCTTTGATAAACAAACCCCCGTCTGGGTCAATGGGTGACTGTGCCCAGGGCTCTAATCGTGGGTGTAAGGGTAGATGCTGACGCCGATTGGAAAGTACTTTTGATTATTAACGACACGATTTTAAACTACTCATTTTTATCTGAACGGATAAAAAGAGGAACAAGAACACTCTGGGCTTGATAACCGATGATCATGGCAAGCTACATACACTTGTTCATTAAACCGTCTGTGAGGGGAAAAAGACGACAGATGCTGAACTGCGTTAATTCAATTTATTTTGGCTTAAGGCTGGAGGCCTCCGAAAGCCTCAGTATCGTCGGAGTTGGTGTCTTGGGTTGCCGCTCGTCACACTTTCCTTGAACCTCGTGAAATGTTCCTATATGGCAAAGCGACTCAAGTAGCCGCTACTGAGAAAGTTCTACTCACTGGCTTCACGTGGCGGTGTTTTTGCACCAAAGTGAGAGGACGAAAAGCCAACATCCTGGATAATAACCAGATTGGTGAACCACTAGTACATCACATAAGGGAGTTGGCCAAAAACCCTGATTCCAAACCAACCAAGAAGAGGCGCACGAACCACACACACCTTCCAGGTTGTGACAATGGTCACCGGCTCGATTGGGCATCAAGGGGTTTTGCGTACCTTGGATATTTCACCCCATCCAAAAGGTGCACGATCCGATGAACTGGACACCGGCCCCCAATGAATTGCGGCTTCCACGCCACCCTGATGTCTTGCGGGTCAGGCTTTGGTTAGCAAAAAGCTTCAGTTGTGAACTCCTCAAGAAAATTCACCGGCCTTGGCCTGGGCAACCTGGCAGTATTCGGCCTACAAGTAAATCATAGACTGTTTTCCTTTATATAAAAGACTATTGTACTGTGATTTGTTTGGCACAGTCTGGCGTCAGACGCGAGTGAAATAAACAAATACAAAGTTAGATGATGAAAACCATCAAACATTATAATGGAGGTGACTGTATCGCTTTTAGGCTCTGCAAAGGCGTTCTACGAGTCGCACTTCTAAATCCCGTTTGAAGAGACCAAAGAATATTTAATACATCCCCTGTGTGTATAACATATGAATAGCTGGCGTTCTCTTGGAACATACGGCGCCTTTTGCGCCAGTTTATGATTAAAAGAAACTTCGGTCAACGACTTTCACTTCGCCACCTTTAGGTTAGGAAAATCAAAAACAGCTTGATTGTTCTGCCAGGATATTGAACAATTTCCAGTGGATGAGTGGTCAAGTACGAAACATAGTGATAATCCAGCATCGAATGAAAGAACTGAAAACCTTACGTGGTTTTGAATGTGGGGAACTCCAACTGTCACTTTCATTCCTTCCACTGATTAGTTGAAGCTGAATTTTACTCCCGAAAACTCACCCCTCTATCAGCAGAACTATGGCCGTAACTACCTAGCTCAGTGTATTAGTTGCTGATTTCTAATCCAGCTGAAACAACAATGACAGAGAAACGTGTCTTCCGAGATAGTAACATTGGGAAGGACTCCATTTCAGACTTTTCTTCGTCGCAAAGAAGGAAAACAAACTGAAAATAATGGGATCTGTACAGTAGCTATAGGAGGAAAAGCATACAATCGAACAGGGAGATCTTACTGGTAGCGCTGGAAGTCGACGAGATGCGACCTGAGAACCAAGTGCACTTGGGCCTATCGGATTGGTTTCTGTCAACCGGAGTGTTTGAGAGCCGGGTAACATTGTAGAACAGGGGACTGGTTCCGGCCGCGCCAAACCGTAGTGGAATGGGTCCGCAGAGGGGCCAGTCTAAAGCAGAACATTGAACACATTGTGAACAACCGTGGCATGTGATATGATTTGAAACACGAATGTAGGAAAACAGCACAATAATAAATATGCCAGATTAGATCCATGCATAACCGTAGGAGGATCGCGAGTGCACAAATGCGTGGAGCCAAGGTTCAGAGCAATTGAAACACGTGTTTCGGCCTGAAACGTGTACCTTGACGTGCACCTCCAAGGTTAATTAGAAATAACGCAAATGAGGTCCACTAACAACCTGATTTATCAATCTGACAGCCTCATCCCAAATTCCG